AGAGGAGCATAATTCGAATGCCCAACCCATTGCAGCTGTAATTTCTCATTCTGAAGAAGCAGCAGCTGCACACCAAGAATTTTTGAACCCATCTGAACATCTGAAATCTGTCGACACGCGTAAGCCTTGTGATTCGTCTTACAAAGCCCATTTCAGCCGCTTGTACATAGAATCGCAGGTATTCAGTCACAGCCCACAACTAATGATCATAGTGAACACGGGAATGAAAATCCACACAAAATAAGGTTTATAAAATTGCCAGATTGTAACCACACAGTTCTAAATGTATATGATGAAACGGCATGCGAACTTTAAAGTGTCTTACAGACTGCTTTTAACGTACGACTGAGTTCTCCTGTTGGTGGTGGAAAAGGGTTTGAAAGGCAGAAATGTCAAGGAAATGCTTAAAATTAGTTAATGGAACTTTTTCACCCCCCCCCAACGATGAGCAGCAAATAAAACTATTGTGAAAATCATTTTCGCTGGCGCAACACCAGTTCTGCAAAAGATATAAAATACAGAAGACCGAAATAACGTCTGCCTCACCCCCACCCTTTCAAATCAGCCGTTATTACGTCAGACGTGATTTCAACCAGTGTCATTCACTCTTTACAGTTTTAACAACATGAATATACTTTGCGAACGTTGATGCCGGCTGTCTTTTCACCGCTAGCGTGCATGTTGCGCAACTCGGTGACAGTTACGATCGGATTCAGTCCAGCATTCTCCGCCAAAGTATACGGTATAATTTCCAGCGCATCCGCGAACGCTCTCCAGCAGTACGACTCGACACCCGGTATGGCATTTGCCATTTCGCGCAGGCGATATGCAACCTCCATCTCTGGGGCCCCACCGCCGCATACCATAAATCTATGAAAAAAGTTTGATTTCAATGTTGAAACATGGAAATGTGATCCCTTTCATGGAAACCACAACAGTGTCGGTACCTCTTTTTCACTAAACATCGGATGACGCACAAAGCGTCATGCAGAGACCGTTCCGATTCATCGAGCACCTGCCTGTTGGAGCCGCGCAACAGCACCGACACTGCTTTGCCGCTGTTCTGTACGCCCGTGAATTTCACCACCTTGCCACTGCCGTCGGTGCTGATCTCCTGCACCAAGTCAGCTGATCCCAAAGCTTCGGGAACGAAATGATCCAAGCTCGCGATCGGACGGCAGCCGAGTATCTGAGAAGGCAATGAGGAAGTTACATAAAACAGAGACCAATCACAGCACAGAGACATACCGTGGTCAGAAAATTTATGTCTTCTCGTTCGATGTCCTTGACGGTGAGAATTTTCAATTTTGCCAGAAAATGTAATGCCAGATCGGTAACAGCATCCCTACAAATTACACTATTACTGCTTACAGTTTACAAAACAAACGCAAAACGAAAAAAATACATGAATACTGCTAACAATTGAGTATAATACTGCACATCCACTTATGAGTAAGCAGCATATATCTCTGAGAAACAATCTTTCATTTAGGATATGTCTCACCTGACTGGTGTTTCAACTGTAAGCACTCCCCTAACTTAAGTCGACTCTCCTCCAATCGTCTGTTTTGCACTTTGAATCTATCGATGACCAAACAGTTTAATCTTCAGGTTGTTATAGCATGTTCTGGAAAGAACGAGGAGATTTTTATGGTCGACTGGAATTTTATTTGCAATTTTTGACAACCACCGGTTGACTCTCACGCAGGCCATGTTGTCGACCAACATTTTCTCGACATCGAAAATAGCAGAGAGTACATCCGTGTCCCGATGTCAAAGATATGTCTTGGAACGTAATCACGGAGGGAATCTTTGCAGATTCTTGCAGCAATTGTTCCTTGCAGTAACACTAGTTTTTTTGCAGTAGACCAGCACTGAGTTTCATAGATCATAGCGTACAGGAATTCAACGAAATCATTTCTTCCACATTTATGAAAAACAGTACGAAAGTTCTATTTGGTTCTAGCATAGCGGCCAAGCATTAGTCGCATCTTGTAATATAAGCTTCTTAAACAGAAGAGTGCTGCTTTTACCAGACTACTAAGTGCTGCATATCGTCTCCTTTTTGAACACAACCTGGAGCTAGAAAATTGACCTTGCTAAATCAAGAACGTTCAGTAATTTTTGACTAACTTTGTTGTACAAATGTTTCTATGCCAGAGAGTGTCAAATAACTGGCAACAGCGACCGTTCAAAACAAATCTCTGGCTTTTAAGCACATAAAATGACTTTAAAGCAGGGACCTAGTTCTTCCTCACTTGCTCACGGTAGACAGAGTTAAACAAGCTGTTATCACCTAATCCACAACTGGAAGATGACGCCCATCAGGCAATACGAATGCCGTCATAAAGATCAGATTGTGAAACGCATTACGTCTGAATGCCTGCTTCGAAAGATCAAGCCAGGATAACAAACTCAAACCTAGAATTAAAATCAGCAAACTCAGAATTACTGGAGTTTCGATTTAACGTTGGTAATCACATCAAACCACATAAGGGAAGATGAAGATTGAAAAAATGACAGTTAATACACTTTTTGAAAGTTTCCGGAATAATTACTATTATCACATTAGATGGTGTCTTCCGACAAAGTTTAAAGCGGAACGAGGCACTAGCTTGAACTTAAATTTCATATACAGTTGACAGAAATAAATATATATTCTATTTTGATTTATGGTTAACATAAATTAAAAACGGACGCAAGATTGGTGAGTAAGCAAGCGAGAGAGTGCGGTCGGATTGCTAACGATTCTGCAAGTCATGGTAGTGAAATAAATATAGGAAGGACCAAGCTTGGTGTAACACTTCTTCAAGTATTACTGGAATCCGATTCATAAGCCTTGTCAGACTGTGTAAAGGAAAATTTATTTTATTAAAAGGGAATACAATAAGGGAAGAAAAACAAATTCACAACGTTAGGCATTGGAACGCTAGTGGTGCAGCAGTGGTAAACACGCTGAATTAATTATGTAAGTCTTTTCCCATCTACTCGTTTCGATGTTGGGGTGAGGGAGATTGTTGCGCTTTCACGACCTCCATTATCTTCCCTCTGTTCGAATCATTTAGATGGATTATGCATGAATGATATGTCTTCATGATGTTATGCTTAGTCATCGCTTCATCATGATAGTCTACTTTATTTATGCAGGCCATATATTCCACATCCCATTTTTAAGTTTCATCAGTTTCTTAGACAGAGGTGTCATCACGGGCGCAAATGAAGCGAGACACCGCCACAGGAGTATCTTGCTGAAGTAGGATCCCTTTCTTACATAGGAGACTACCAGCTTCTGTGTCACATATAGTCTGAACGATGTATTTGTTCACGAACCGTTGATCGCTTTATTCAGATTCTCTTGATAGGGAATCCCATTTGAGAGCTGCGAATAAAATTGTCTGACGGGTCGACGGTTAAGTTACAATTGATTCTGTTCAGCTTCTGGGCTACCTCTGGGAAATGCGCATGAATAAAAGGTTCCATGTAGCTGATTCTTCTCAACTAGTCAAACAACTTGCCATTATGCCCCTGTAAGGAAATGAAGATCAGTATCCTGAAAGCAACCGTTATTCGCGATATTCACGCAGAATCTTGATATACCTTCGGTCCTTAAACGTCATGAAGCTCGTCCTGACATCTTCCAGCAAAGCTATTTAGGAAGTATTGTCAAAGTGCGACGACGAGCAGGGGCCGACGACAGGCGGTCTGAGAAAACTATCAGACGAACTCAAAGACGGCCGCCTGTTGATACGTTTGATAAAAACAGCCTTGAAACAGGATGGAATTCTGTTCAAAACTTCTCAGGTGGAAACTGCCAAATCCCCCGCAGAAGCGCTGG